GTGTTCTTTTTTTTTTCCCCGCCGCGTGCCTACTACTACTACTACTACTACTATTACTACTACTACTACTACTACTACTATTACTGCTACTACTACTTATACTTAGACGTCAACGAAACACATTTTTCTTGACTCTTGCCTTTTGACTCGCCCCCTACTCAATTGAGTACAACAGTTTGATATGCGTAAGAAGTTGTTTGTGATGCGTTGGGCGTATGTTAGTTTTTAATGCTTAAATTCTTTTTCATCCCTCACCTCGAGGACCTACGCTGTGGAGCCACATTGTCTTACCGTCTTACTGTTCGGATCGGCAGATAGCGTGTGGGGATACAACAGGTTCGTTGATAGCTTGGTGTCCGTGTCGCGCATCGCATTAGTGCTTCACTACATGTGGATGACTACAGCAGCTCCGCCATCGCACAGAAGGCGTCATTCGGCTTCACGGGTTTCATCAATGGAGATCTGGCCGCCATGAAACCATCCAATGGCAAACCACCAGCAGCGGAAGAGAGAATACAACGAGTCATCATCTCGTCAGATGCAGACAACATCATGGTTGCGCATTGCGCCAAACGGGTAGACAAGATGTTGAAGGAAACGAACAAGTGTACACAGGACAACACATTGTCGCCGGACACCGCCCGCAGGATGGCCGCAAGTGCAACTTTCTCAGCGTCTTCGGCAAGGTCGGCAGGGCACCGCTGAAGGCTCTGTAGGTCAAAGCCAATTTTTTCGGTGACAGCCTGGACAAGCCTACGATTTCAGCTTTACGCGCAATATCGGAGATCATCAGCCACGGACATTCCCGGAGATCGGCGCCCGACAGGATTCACCGAGGTGGAGACCCGGGGGAGATGGGGAACGGTCATCTTCATCATTGGCAACCGACCGTACTGGGGGTGACTGCCAGAAGAGATCCTGAAACAGTTCAGCAGCAATTTGGAAAACATGTACCCCTTTGAGGCGTGGGTGACCGTCATCGCGCCGCTGACTTTCGAGCCTTGCTTAGGACTGTTCTACGTTCAATGTTGCGATAACAGGGCGCCTCGACATGCCCTTTTGAAAAGAGTCGGTAAACATCAGAGGTTCAGTTGCACTGGACGGGGCACAACCGAGTGGCATTAGACACCGTATTGAAAGGGCTCCCACCAAGGCCAACATTTTGGATCCCACCAATAGATTCCGACATGTCCCACAGCAAGTTTTCGCAGCATCTATTGATACCTTGGAGAGACATCACCAAAAGACGCCAGTTGATCGCAGGCGACATCCGCTTGGCTTGGGTTTTGAGGGTTTTCCTGTTGCGACGGAATTTCGTACAAGCCAGAGCATGTTTTGCACACATCATTCTCCAGCAACGGGAGTGTGAAAGCGGAAACTTTCTGTTCCTCAGCGATGCGGAGTACATGGGATCAGGTGAATCCGTATGATTTGTTGGATCAACAAATCGGGCTTTTTCAGATTCATCAAAGCTTTCATTTTCCCACCCTCCCACCTTTAGTAGGTCTCTATGAAGCTGGTTATATTTTTTCTATTTTCATTTGAGTCTCTTTGCATTTGCTCATACGTCTAGATTTTTGAGCAGGAAACCGTTCGCAGAAGCCTTTGCTTGTTCAGTTGTACGGGACGTCCGGGTCCATGGAATAGAAGAAGGATTGTGGAGGACTGCGTGTCAGAGACGTCAGAAATGGTTGGAAAAAAGGCTTTTGCATTTCAGAAGGAACCTCGTTTGCCCAGGTTCCAGTACAGCAAGAATTTGGAACGGTATGCCAGTTTTGCTGAACATCCCTGTCACTTGCCTTGTTGCTTTGCATGCTGGCATTGGCATTAACTGCCCAATCATCAGAAAACATGCCACGACTCTTCTATTCCAAGCGGCCGGGCTTTTTTGGGTCTGTCCACCTCCTAGGTGCGGAAGCTTGCGAGCAGCGGGGATCAGGGTTGGAGATGCACAGCAGTGAAGCTGGGAGCAGATGGGTGGTGATGGAGAATCATTGCTTGAGATCCAATGCAGTTGGCCAATGTTGGCGGCGTTTAACCATGTGTATTTATTGACATTTTTTTTGTGTGGATGGTCTACAGCTTCGCGATCTAGGATCCGTCAACCAGCGCCTGGAAGTGAGGGTTGTTTCTGTTTTGTTTTGGATGTGCCAGTCCCTCGTGCGCCTGCAGAGCGGAACAGGAAGCCTGACACCTAATGCAGTCGTTTTCGCATTTCGTGCGTGCTTCACAGGCTTTAGCCACGCACATGTGTCATCCTTATCTTGGACATGCCTTGAGCAAGGGGCCAGTGGTTTTCAGTGACGTAAGTTCTTTAGGTTCCAGCTCTTTCCACGCTTTGTGCGAGTAGATGTGGATCGCTACGATGGCAGGTGAGAGTTCTTCCTGTTGGATGTCATGGTTAGTCTCGCCACCTTCAGACTTGAAAGCAATAATTTAGCTATATGCAAGCATTGCAAGCTGCCTTCTTCAAAATCGTGCTGGGTTCCAAGGCGATACAGACAGTTCTACTGGCCTGACGCTTCCATTTTCAGCTGATGCCATGTGAGGCGGAGGAAAGGGCTTTGGGTGGAAACTGTCAGGCCATTTACAGCAACAGTTCTAAGTCTATGCGTTAGCCAGCTTACCAGCTGCCTTCCGTGTGGGGCTGAAAACAGTTTCAGCTTTTGGGCCCACTGAGTCTCACAGTGGCAGACATTTCTTGATTCTTTGCAATTAGATCCCAAACATGTTCCAGAGGTTTTGTTGCGCGCCATAGTTTTGCAACGTTCCACTGCACGCTGTGGGATTTGACCTCCCAGATGTCGCGGTTTATGGGGATTGCAGCCCTCAGCGGCCCAAGTAGGTGTGGCTTGGCCGCTCGGCAACTCTTGGATCCTAAAAAACAGATGACGTAGATGTGTAGAATAGTTAGGGTCTCAACAGCATTTACCGAGATACTGCCCAAATCACCCACAAAGGCATGACTGCGATCCCCATTAGAGTTTGACCATGGAACATGCAAGCTGACAAGCCGTGTGCCGCATCCTCAATGCTTAGAGCTCCGAGACAGTTGTGGTGGAAAAAGCTAGGGTGTGTCAATGCTTCGGCTTGAGATCTAGGCTTTTGAGAGACCTGACTTGTTTGCGTTGCGATGAGGAGCTGACTTGCATGGATTGTAACGGGCTTCCTCTTGGCTACCAAGGGGATGTTCTTCTTCTGTGGTTACAAGTCGGACAGCTAAACTATCTTGGCATTTCGCATAGTGTTTTGTTTAGCATTGCTTACGTGGCTGGAGGGCAACAAAGTGCACCATCTTGTCGTCATCATCAGCATCATCATCATTTCAAGAGGGATTCTTGTGGCATGGGTCTTGCAATCCTTCCAGATAGCAGGCAGCTAAATGCGACATGGGCCTTATCTTTAAACATCCTGGGCAGTGAATGTTTGGAATGGTCTCTGGTGGCCTGCTGCGGCAGGCAGGGTGCAGAGATGTCTTGCAGGGGCTTGACATGGGCGCCTTCGTTGCAAGGCATGTGTGATTGGCGGAGCTTACTTGGCTTTCTTGACATTTCTAGGCCTCTGCGTGCAGTGATGATTTCATCACAATGTTACATGTGCATGCCCTGGTGGACATGACACAGGCTTTGTGTGGTGGGTGGCCTGGAGACTTTCACTTTCCAAGGCTTTTCTTCTCGAGCTAAAATTCTGATTCCGTTCTCACTTTGTGAAGGTGCCCTTGCTCCGGGAGTGCATCGGCGGCGAAGCCAAGAGGTGACCAGTTGGATGAGCGTAAATCCTCGCCTCTTCTCCCTCTCGCTTCGAGTGCTCTTAGCCTGCCAGGGATCCAACGGTTGTCGGCTTCTGAGAGACTTCGTCCCACCGGATTCTCGTTTAGGTGACACGGGATTTTGCTGCCACTGATTGCCAGAGCGGCGCAGGCATGGTTACTTGTGCCTGTTCTGGGGATGATTAAGGCAAGTGAGCAAAGCACCAAGGGTACAGAAAAGCATGGCTCGGGCCCGAGATAGCCTGCAAGCAGAACATGATTTGTAAAGCGTTTGCAAAAGGAGATGCAAACCGAACAGCATTCTGCTTGCATGACGTATGAAGAGTAGTGAGGACAAGATGAGTTGATGGAATATTCTGAGCACAGGGCAGGAAGGTGGAAGTCCTCTGAGGTCATGGGGCATCAAAAGACTTTATTGAGAAGCAGAAACAAAACACTGATGTTTGAGAATGCCTAGTGGTTCGGGGAGTAGGGATCTCGCAGATCCGCAGCTCATCAGGTGCTGATTGGCGTCCCCGCAGAGAGAGGGCGAGCGAGACGATCAGTGAGGTGGGTGAAGCTGGCGAAGTCGGACAGAGGGAAGCCCGGTCCGTTGCCTCCAAGGCGAAGAGATAAAAAAGTATTGCCGCAAGATGTAGTCAGACCGCGTCTTGTTCCAGGAGGCTTTTTTCCTGATCGGTAGCAGTCGCTGGCACGCTTGTAGCATCTTGTTTGAATGACTAAGCTTTGGAGCAGTACGTTGAGCGGAACGGCCGAACGGATTATGGTTACCTCTCACCAGTCAAGCAAACAGAGCATGAAATCGATGGCATCAACAAGGCTGCTTTTGACGGTTCTCATTTCCACAGCAACGTTTGTGCTCCCAAAGGTAGGATGTTTATGAAAGGACGGAGTATTCTCTGCTCACAGTCGTCCCAGCTTCTACTGACATTGTGAGACATCGAGTGCAACAAGACATCGCTTCATCCTAAGTGCCATCAGCCGCCTTCCAGGCAAGTTTGTGGCTTGGCTAATGCAGTCTACGTGAGCAGTCTACTAGAGCAGTACGCATGAGTAGCTTGTCGACAGCCGTTGGCTAGACAAGGTCCATGACCCGCAGCGACCGTCGTCATCAGGCTTTGCTACGTTGCAGATCTATGATGAATTCTATTCTATTCTGAATACTGTTCCCCTTTGTTGGGTTTGTATTGTTTGTATTGCTCTTTCTTAGCCAGGAGTCCAAGGCCCAGCGCCGCTTCGACCTTAAGTACACTGCAGCGGCCCAAACGCGGCTTTTCAAGCTTGGCTTTCTGTGCAACCTGTTCGCGTGCGTGAAACACCTCAGGAGATGTGCAAGTTCTTCCTGGAAGGCAAGTGTAACCTTGGCAGCAAGTGTCTCTTTGCCCACTCGGAGCAGCAGCTGCGAGAGAAGCCTGACTTCCGTTGTGCCTCGGCAGTTGGTAGCGGCAGGGGCAAGCTTCCAGATAGAGAGTGTTCGAGAGCGCAAGTCGCCTAGCTCAGGCATCAAGCTCTGTTGGGAGTTCGCTTCTCTTGGTACCTGCAAGTATGGTGCCTTCCCCAGAGCATCTTTTACCTGCGAAGCCACCTACGTGTGCTTTGTAGCACAGAGGAGCTGGCTGCACTCACGCTCACGGCGTCCAAGAGCTTCGTGAGGCGCAGGCGCAGATGCCTCTGGCCCGGGCCGCAGCTGAACAGCTGAGCAGCTGAGCAGCTGAGCAGCTGAGCAGCAGACGGGAAGCGAGCCGTGCCCGCAATTCTTTGCTCTTTGTCGGAGGCTGGGTGCTTTCTGCGTGCGGAAACATCCTCGGAAGGCGGGCGGAGAGCGTGCAGCGTAACAAAAATTCTAGCCCTGATGCCGAGGCTCCTCCGGGCAAGAGCCGACTGCAAGGTCCCTGTGGTCCCTTTGCCAAGAGGATCTGAAGGATGGGCTCTTGATCTCTTTATAGTCGACTAACAGAGCTATTCCCTGAAGAAGTGGGACAGTCACAAATGCAAGGATATGGAGAGACCCACAGATCCTAGGAGGGGTTCGACCCCCAGGTTCTGAGCAATGCCGTATCCACAGCCAGGTTTTGATCGGGTGCCACCCCAGTCATGGAAAATCTGCGACCTGTCGCATCCTAACGCCACAGACGGCCGTCTTGTCTCAGAGGCGGCCGGGGTCATTTTGACTCGAGTCTCACTACCGTTCAGTTCGTGCATGCGCCTGGGATGTGGTGCGCACCTGGGATATGGTGCGGTCGTGATGCATGCAAGATTGGAAGGGAAATATGGCAATACAATACACACTTAGAAGTTGCAAGAAGAGAGCGGAAAGGACTTTGTTGAAGCTAAGCACGCAAAGAGGTTCAGTCAGTGGGCAAGAACAACTGAAAGGCTAAAACATTTATTTGCAGAGAGGATTCCGTGAGCGCCTGCATCCTGAAACCACAGCATTTGCTGCAGCCTTGTGATATGTTTTATTGTGATCCAGCGACACTGAGGCATTTCTGCGCTCAGAACGCTGGATTTTAAGTTCTCAGTTCTCACACGTCGTGAGAGACCGGGAGTTGTTGTTATCGTGACCAGAGTCTACTGTGGCCACAGAAAGCCTGAGCCTGTGCTGCCACCTGTTGGTGATGGCATTGCCTTGGAGCTGCAGAACTCACCGAATTATACGAAGATGCTACTCCCAAAGTCTCTTTGGGGCTGAGTTCAGGTTGTCGGTTGGTGTTTCTGCATGCATCTGCCGCCGTTTGTTGGCGCCTCAGCAGAGGCCGCGCAGAGAGCTCGGTGCTCCGAAATTCAGCAGAGGAATGTGTCAAAAGTCACATCTGTTAAGTGCAGTTTTATTCCCCACATTTATTGTGAGGTTCTAGTGTTTTGATTCAATCGCCCGCTGCCCAGCGATTCTTCTTCCGGCGCCCAACATTTCGGCCACCCCTTCTCCTGTTTTCATTTCGGCTGCCCTAAGCCTCGAACCTAGGAATGCCTGAGCACTCTCCCCCTCTGAACTCCTCCTCCAGACCCTCCCGCGAAGATTTCGGCCGCCTTCTAAATTGCCTTTGTTCTGCAATCTTGTCAAACTTGCCAAAAGTGTGCACATAGACGCAGCTTCTGTACGTCACATGCAGTCAACGTGCAATGCGCAGGACGCTCACTTTTTTGCTGCGAGTGGCGAAGGACAATGCAACGTCGTGCACCTCGGGGGGTCCCCCCTCTGAAAGAGTGGGAGAGACCCGCAGGTCAAACAATTATGACAAAGTCACCCCGGGGAGGGTGGGAGGGCACTAAGAAAAAAAGCTTGAGTGCGAAAACTTGCGCCATCAAGCCATTCAAACATCGCAAGCAGAACTCTACGTTATAGCTAACAATCAAGTTCTGCACGCTTGTCAAACTTGCCAAAAGTGTGCACATAGACGCAGCTTCTGTACGTCACATACAGTCAACGTGCAATGCGCAGGACGCTCACTTTTTTGCGGCGAGTGGCGAAGGACAATGCAATGTCGTGCACCTCGGGGGGTCCCCCCACTGAAAGAGTGGGAGAGACCCGCAGGTCAAACAATTATGACAAAGTCACCCTGGATGTCTTGTAGCGCCCCTAAATAGATGCTGGCATTTCGTGCACTGCTAAGGTTTGTGGAAACTGGCTACATGTCATTCAGCGCCGGCATGCCAGTGCGGCGCAAAATCTTAATGGTTGTACCAGCCAAAGCCCAAAACAGCTTTGGTGCAACCATCTCTGAGCTTTCGGAGTGCCTTGGGGAGGGGGGGGGCCGCCGGGGCGTGGCCATGTATGCTGCTGCATGCATACTGCTTTGCGCTCCTGCTCTGACATTCTGCGCATTCCATGCAGTACGTCGCAGGTCTTTCTCCCCGTGCAACTCACACTTCGATTCGTCGCCGGTTGCCGTCTTTTTTCTTGTCTTTTCTTTGCAGCCTTCTTCTTCCTCTGTCTTTAAAAAACCTACATATATATACATACAGAAAATTACATACATATATATTTTTTTTTAAGTTCCACTAAATCCAGTCCTCTAACTTAGGTTTCGGAAGGGTTGAAAGCGGAAGCTGTGCTTTTTGACGCAGACCTGAACAGCTCGGTGGGCAAAGACCGCAAGCGGTACATGCGATAGGCACAAGAGTCTGCCTTGAAAGGTCGCTCCTTACAAGGGGCTTGACGAACTGGTTTCTTGAATATGGGTTTCCGATCATTTGAGTTGGTTCTCGAGGTTTACTAGCTTAGTTTAGCTGGAAGTTAGCATGCTTGCTCCAAATGTCTTTTTGATGTTTTCAAATCCACGGCCTTCCGGCCGTGGTAAGCTGACGGGATGCAAAGGCAGAGTGGTGCATGTCATCAGATGTATCAATTTGCACATTGATTGTGCAATTGCAAAAGCTCAGCTGCTATAGCATGATTCCTGCCATTCCATCAGGTGCACTTTTGGCTAGGCCGAAGAGCTTGAGCTAGCTCACTTGCAGTGCTTGCGGCGCAAGTTGTGCTATTATGCTGATCCTGTGGGTATTCCCCCATCTATTGTAGCACTGTAGAGACTACCTCTACGACCAGGTTCGACTCGTAACTAGTAGTTTATTTTGTCTGCTAGGTGATTTCCTGACTATTCGTCTATGGAACCATCGAAATAGTTTGTTTTGCCCAAAGTGATTTCATCAAATACCCTTAATACCCTTAGAAAGGTAAAGTGTGGTTTGCAAAAAACATTGACACTTACTTTTTTCCTGACGTCAAATATCCTAGGATGATAACATTGATTTTTTCCAAACAACCTTGAACAACTATTAGTGTATTTGCATGAAAAATTTTGAAACTAATAAGAAAGTACATTTGTTGAGCATGGAGTGCCAAGCCACTCTGAGATTGGCAGGCGTCTTCACACAGACCTTTGGTCCTTGAAGGCCTTTAGCTGAAGAGGCAGCAAGGTTCTTGCACATGTTTCATCTAAGGCACATGGAATCAGCAAGCATCCTTTGCAGGCACAGAATACCATTTGGTGCCACCTTGATAGAACCCAACACAAGTTCAGATGCCCGGGCTTTCCACCTGACCTTGGGAGCTGTCCTCTGCCAGCTCCAGGCAGCACCACTCGGGCGCTTCAGGCACTGGAACATTTCAGTCTGGAAACATTCATGGCAGCACAGGCACAGAATATCCTGCCTAGGTGGCATGAAAATGTTAGAACCTAGCTAAGTAATTTTTCAATTGTTTCTTGCTTGGTAACATGCTATAGGCTTAGCAGGGGTGCATAGCACCTGTCTCGCGTGCTTGCTGATTCTGCTTGTGAGCGTTTTGTGCACGTGGTTAATGTTCAAGGACAAGAAATGCCCAGCAATGCTTGCACAAGTGCCAAAGCCAAGAAGCTAAGGAGCCACTGTTTCGACAAAAGTCCATGGCGCAGAGAGCCATTACATATCATGTTACCTAGTCAAATGTTATTCAGACATGTGGCCTAGCTGCTATAGCTGTGTCCTGCTTTTTTTGGACTAATGAATTTGCTTCTCACGTCAAAAAAACTGTTCCAATGTTGTTTCGAACACACAAATTTAATGGATTTTGCAAAACGAGCTTTCACTTTCATAGTCATTTGAGAATAGAACTTTGAAGCAAAACAGTCTATGTTATGAAATACAGTATTTTCTAGCCTTTTTTTAACACACCCCAAAAAAGCTACTCGTCTTTTACCAATGGTCTAATAGCCTATTTTAGTTTATAGACTAATCTAATCGTCTATTTTTAGTCTAACCTGGTCTTAGAGGTCACGCATTCCACTTCACAACTGTGCCATGATTTGAGCAAAACATGCCCTGGAATTGGGTCAGACAGCTGAGGGCGAATGCGAAAGTGTATGAAAGCCTGGATCTTGCAAGGACTTGGCATCACCTGGTCTGCATGCAGCATGGCCAGTGCCAGCTCTTGAACTTTCGAATCTTTGATCGCACCTGCCCACTATGACCGCAGATGCCTGGTTCAACAGACGCATAAGAGCTGGCGAGGTATCACGAATATCCATGATGCATTTTACAAATGGTAGCCTCCGCATCGCCCACTTTTTCAGCCCACGGAGGCCTAATTGTACATCCTCTGTAGCAACACGGCCTGGTTCACGCCCGCAGCAGCTTGTGGACCCATTTTAGGGTTTAGGGTTTAGGTGTGCTTCATGTTTCTTTGCGCCCGGCTTGGCTACCTGCGGCAGACCCAGGCAAGGGCACTTTTGTTCAGGGAAAGGTCTCTGATCTCTGCAAGAGCATTTTGGGCAGTTTGCTAGAGCAAGGCCAGCATATTCTTCTGCAATTGGAGAGCTCCCATTTCTGGAAAATGAGAAAGCTTCTTGCCTCTGCACTACGTGCACTTCCTGATGAGCACATATTGGCACTAGTTTCCAGCTACTTCTGCTCCATCTTGAGATTGTTCGTTCTGTGTATGCTCACAGCGTAGGTTTTGATATGAGGGGCCAGTGCTTCTCTCAGAACATCGGTCTTCAAAAGTCTTCACGGACAGGTCCTTAGAAGCCGAGCAGCCGCAGGGAAGGCGACCTGATAATCTGAGATGGATGGGCATGCGCAACCCAAGCAGAACTCAGACTCGGACTTGCAGGTGCAGCGAGTGCCTGACCCACGGGCCCGGGGCTCGGATGAAAAAGAAGACTTTGGGTCTGGCAGTGTTGTGAGGCTCGGACGTTTGAGGAGCGGGGCTTTGAAGCAGCCCGAGACCGGCGCCGCCTTCGACCGTACTGGCCCCCGCAGGCCTGACCTCAAAGGTCGGAAGTGAGCTAAGCTGCACCGAAATTAGTGATATCACGAAAGCTAGCTCCTTGG